CACGGGGCAGGTGGCGCTAGGGGGGCGGGGGTGTGTGTTTCGGCAGCACTGGGGGGGTTGTTTTTGTGGGACGGGTGGCGCGGTGTTGTGTTTTGGGGGGGGGGGCTGTGTGGCACTGGGGCGGGGTTGGCGGCTCTAGGGGGGTTTCGGCCCTCAGCTGTTTTCTTTGGAGTATTATGGCCCTCGCCACTTTACGAGTTGTGCAGGCCTGCCCTAGGTGCTAGCTGTGTCCTCCCCCCCCCCCCAGACATTCACACCCCCTCCTCCACAGAGCCCAAAGATCCAGAGAAAGAAACTGCCTGATACTGGGTTTCCTGTGCACCGCTGCCTCCTTCCTTCAGGGTGTGCTGGGAACCCTCCAGTTCCCTTCCCCTTCTTTCCCCCCTCCCCCCCACCTTGTCTTCTATTTGCGAGCTGGGCTCTGCCAGGTATAGGGAGGGGCATCTGACATCTCTCCAGCCCATTTTGGGGGGGGATGTTAATTTCTGCAAAATTATGCAGTGGTGCAGAATTCCCCCAGGAATTCCCACCTGTGCCACTCTAGCAGTTGCAGTGTAGACGTATCCTGAGTCGCACCTTGCTAAGGTATTAGCTTTGCCTCACTAATGTGAGTGGATGTTCCCTCATCCCTTAGTTTCTGCAGTGGTCATTGTTAGCATCGTAATTACCTTTACAAAGATTCCCAGACATAATAGCTTTGGATGCATGCACGCTGTTTAAGATACCATTGGGTTTACCCATTCTTTCCCCTCCCTCCCCTTTATTTACAGGAAATACACATTTGATAATGTTCAATGACAATTTTGTAGCATCTCAGTGGACTCCTGGAAAGTGCCGGAAACCCAAAGTCCATGCTTCTGTGCTCTAAGGGTATCTGACCCTGAATCTGGCAATCTGCTCATATCTTTACATTTCAGCTAATGTCCAAACACTTTGCCCCTTTCTCTCTTCACCACTTTCTGAGGAGGGAATTCAAAATGGTTGATTTCTTCAGAGGAAACTATACAGAATTTATTTTCTGTCTGGGGATCAAGATGACTTTGAAGTCTCCTTTTGTACTATAAAGTGGTACTTTATTTAATTTCTGTCCTCAAATGATTTCTCTATGTTTAATAAACACTGAGTGGAGCTTCTTCTTTTGTGGATAAGCAAAATTTTGGAAACTTGATTCTTGCTGTTTCTGTAGCTGTCACATCCATTATTCAATGGAATGCTCCCAAGGACATGTTACTACTTTCAGTAACTATGTGCTGAAGGGTGGGCTGAAGATCCTACATGCTGACCTAAATGTGAGTAAGCTAGTAAGGATTTTAGGCCAACTACCCCTCCCTATTGGAAAACTAAAACTTTTTGGTTAATTATTTTAGGGACTTTTTGAATCACTTGATATTCTTATCTTAATATTGTTTGGAGGCAATTTCTATTTCTGGCCTTAACAATTACAGCTCTACTTTTGTCTTTGGTGGGGACAACTATTAACGAATTGAAAGCGTGATATCTCTTGTACTGTTGCTTGTTACGCTTTGTGCAAAGCTCAAATATGGACATGTGCAATACTGAGGTATTTGGGTGGATTCTTACCTTCCCACTGTTAGAGGTGGGATGTGAAAAATTACTTTACAGCTTCTGGTAGCTGTCATACAGTTATTAGGGAGCTTTTTGAATCCTACCCATCAGTGAACTGAAGGGAATGTTTTCAAACAGGAATTAATTCAGGGAAGTCCTTTGGCCTTGTTATACAGGAGGTGAGGCTTGATGATCACAGTGATCCCTTCTGGCCTTATAATCTCTGACTCTGAAGATAATGACATTTCATCTGTTCATGAAGTATAACTATTAATCCCCATAAAATCTAAACATGTTTTAGTGCTAGGGAAGTTTCCAGCTGTCTTGTCCTTCAAGGGTAGGATTCTAATTTAAACTATATCTTTAGAGAAGCATATAGGTAATTCCCCTCTCCATCTTTTTTCCTTTCTAAATACCTGGGAAAGTGCATTATTTAAGAAATGTGAAGCTTACACTGAGAGGCACTTAAATCAGAAAATGACAAAATGAACATTTGTGCAAACCCCAATAGAGAGCTTTTATTCTCCAACTATAAGGTAACAATATAGCGACATAGCAGTGAAACAATTATCACTGTGTCGCTCTTAAACTGTATTCTGAGAGGCACCTTTTATCTCCTAGTTGAGACTTTTGTTCTTAAAATTAATTTATGGCTAAAGCATCTGTGCTCAAACTTTGCCCAGTTGAAGATGGCAGTGGCAACTTGCTGGGGTCTGAGAGCTATGTCTAATTACCATAAAATTGAACATATTGTATATGTCCCTATCTCTTTCATTAAGTCTTGAACTTTAACAAATATAGCAGGCATTTAAAATATAATAATTCTATAATAATGGACCCTTTCATCTACACAAACTTAGGTGCAGTTATTAGCTAACCCCTAAACTCCAGGCCAAAAGTAAGAAAAAATACATGCATTAAGGACAGAATGCCTGTTTAAAGATGTTACCTTCTCTAGCACTTTGCTAAAAACTTATGCAAACTTTAGCCAATGTTGACATAAGTTTTTTGGAGTTCTTTCCTTTACAAACTACTCTGATTGAATCAAATGTGCATTATTTTATAATTCTAAAGAGTTTTGTTTTTGAGCTTTTCCTGATAACTTCTGTTTTATTCAGCACTTAAAACTTAACAAAAGTTGCTACAGAAGGGATTGAAATGCAGATGTCTGCCTTTCTGTATTTACAGCATATCAAGAATAAAATGTTGTGATACAGAAAGATGACATGCAGTGGTTTCATATAGCATTCATAAGATGTAGTAGTTTAGCCTATTAACTGTTTTGGAATTAAACCTAACATAATTCTTTGTTATAATCAATTTTGTGACACATCTGTGGTAACGTTCTGGGAAATACTTGTTGATAATTTTGCATCTGGTAAATATTCTGTTAGAACTAAACATTTGAAATTATTCTTCTGTATTTTGGTAACCCATTAAGATAAAGACTGATTATATCAATGATTTTTGATGTTGCATAATGGGCACTGTTGCATGTGAGGCTAGTTAAGGCTATTTATAGACCGGCTTGGTTGGTCATAAGACCTACCTCTTGCCAAAAATACTCTGACTTGGCAGTGGCGGAGAGTTCATTTAGTAATAAGATAGTACTGTGGAATGTTAAAACAAGCACTGACATCACTGACTTCTTCAAAACATATAGCCTTCGCTTTTTCTTTCAGTCACAGTGGATCTCTGTGAAAAGACTTCTGTATAATATGAATAGTGTACTGTCTAGTGTGGGCATGTGTGTGGAGAAATCAAAATCAAATTTCACCTCCATACCCCTGATTCAGATGTTAAAAGGCTATTGTCAAACAAAATATTTGTAAATACTGGGGGGAAAGTAATCTTTGTTTACTTTGCATAATATGCTTGCACAATGCAACACAAATGTGGATTTTAATTATTTTCCTCTGGTTTGAATTATTCCTGTTTTAGTTTAAAAATCTAAATGCACTGATTTGGTGATCCAGCTGCAGTCTTCCCTTTTTGGTCAGTAGGAAAATACACCAGATTGAAACCACTGTTCTCTTTAGAAAATCTGAAATATTATGGTGGGATTTTCAAAAGTACTCTGCATTGGCCTGACTTTGCTCCCATGGACTTCAATGGGAACAGATTTAGGCTGATTTAGAGCATGTTTGAAAATCCCATCCTCACTGTCTACTTGGCAGTCTTATTGTATGTGCTGTTGTGGGGAGTTCTCACTGTCTTGTAGTATTGACCATATTTTATTAGAATGATTGTCTTGTGAATCAGATGCCCTCCTTTTTAGAATCGCATAAACTCTGTGGCAATTACAGCAGTTGTTCGTTATGGAAAATGTTTATGTGCAATTTATTGAGGAGAAATAGCAAGCCTTATGTGACCAGCCATCTGTCCAGATCATTTTGAGAACCTCCTGTTATAGCATTGACAATAGTTCTTTGTTTGGAAAGTCAGCATTTTCTTTGGCCTTAATCCTGCAAATGATGAGGCATGTGTCATTTTACTCATGTGATTGGGTCCATTGAAGTCAATATACTTAAGTGGTGTTGTCGGGGGGGCTTTATTTGTACCTTTTGAATAAAGTCCGCTTTACATTGAAGTGATTCAAACTTCTGCTTCCATCTCTTTATTTAAGAACCATCCAGTGATCTCAGTAAAAATATAGATTTAGGAGAATGGAAAGACTTAATCTGTCCCTCTGCCAAAACAAGATTACCCATAAAATACTCAAAAGCATTGTCCAGTATATATTTAAGTGGTCAAAGCAGGATTCCTTCTGCTCCACTACCAGGAAAGTGTTGTTGATGGTATTTTAGGACTTGGAATAAGAGCATCCACACACTTGCTTCAAATTCACAACCTACCTTATTCTGGATTAATTTTCATGTGTAGACAAGTCCTTTTATTTTCCTTTCTATTTCTTTAATCCTATTTATGTCCCTCCACTTTTTGTACCCCTAAATTCTTTTCCTTCTTTGGTTTTCATACTTTCAAATGTATTGTTATGTTTTGTATAGGCTCATTTTCAAAGCATAGGAGTCTGATGAAAAAAATGGAGTGGTGTGCATTTTCCATAAAATCGCTATTTTAGGATGGAGAGAGGAGGAAACTAAAATGTAGATAATGTTTTAATAGATAAATAGTGCCGATTTTACTATGAAATTAAGCAACTACATTTACCTTGATTCCAAAGAAGCTTATTCTTAATGAACACTGAAGGAGTAATTGGAACTAATTAGTTTAAAAAGTTTCTGAAGTGTTACTGTGAGAGCTTTAAGCACATCTTACTGAAAGATATTGTACTTTACAGCAATGGTGTCCCCTTATTATAGTACTGAGCTGATGCAGTGTTTACGTCTAGTATCTAAATGTTTTTAAATTTTGACTAACACTATTTTTAGACAAGGTGGTTGTTCTTTGTCTGAAATATTTCTATCTTACAGTGGAGAAACGAGATACAACAAAGACAAGATACTTCAAGGTTAGTGTCAATCCTGCTATGACCATTAGATTGTTAGAGATTAAATAATTACATATACCTCTGCAAGAGGGCAGCCTATGGTTAACTGAAATGTTAACAATATCAGGATGGATAAAAATGGATGACTTAAAAAATTATTTAAATTAAGTACATGTTTCTTTTAAAAAATAAGCCTATTTGAAATTATGACACTATATATTAAGGCCTAAGCGTAATTTAAACAATTTTAATATATACTAAATTTAAAAAAAATACAAGCAGTATCTGTTTGAAGCCCAAGTTTTAAAGGAAGTCAAACCACTGAACTAGTGGAAGTAACTGTCTCCGCATCTGTAACAGTAGTCGTCTCTGTTGCAGGTGCAGTGAGAATATTTTCTTTTCTTTTTATTTCAGTTCAATTACTAACTGATTCCTTCAAAGCTGAGAAACTGTTTGGGAGTTGAAAAAAGCAGAAAAGCTTGTTTTCCTCTCCCAGTCTATGAATAAAAATGAGGTGAGAGAGGATGAGCTCTCCTTGTTCTAAAGTTTTAAAGGGCATGGTGATCAGAAACAATCAGTTCAATTCACTAACTATAGATATGTCCTTTGTTTAATAAAATCATTTAGTTTCAAATGCAAAACATGTTTTGATCAACTTATTTTATATGTATCCAGCACGTTTAAGGTGGTTTAACTAAAACAAAAAGCTGTTTTTATGCATTTTTAATTGAATTCCAATTTGCACCCAAATGCAGGTTGAGACAAATCATGCGTTAAAAAAGAATTAATCATCTAGTAAATGTCATTCACAATTTTCCAGCATAATAAAATGAATGTAAAAATTAAATTTATTTTAAGCCATGTAATTACTTAAATAAATGTTTATAGATACATTGTATCCTCCTGGTTAGCAAAAAGTACTAAAATTAATATAAAGACTATATTGAGTTGCAAATCAACATGTTCTAATGGTTGCTAATCAGTGAGAGACAACCTTAGGAAAATAAAGTACAAATGCAAAACAAGATTAAAATCCTTGATTTAAATCAAGGTTTTGTGCTTGTTTTAAATCATGAATAAACTCAGATTTAAATCACACTGATTTAAATCAGTCAAACCTGATCAGTACATCCAAGTTAACTTGTCAGTTTGTTTATACCAAATAATGTGTATGGTAAGAGACCTATCTTTTGGATTAGGATTGTGCCTTGATAACTTATACCAACTTTGAACTGTCAGAGTTCAATAGAGTTCATATGCCTCCAAAATGTCTAAGACTGTAATAGAGATGGTAACTTCCAGGACATTAGGTGATGTGGTCTCTCCAGGACCCAATTAAAAAGAAATTAACACATTGTTTTTTTTCTACTTGAACATTCTGCTTTAGAATAATAGTAATGTGATTATAGGCAGAGCTGGAAGTAAGGGTATCTAAGGATGCCCAATGCTTCCCTTCGTAAGAGTTGCTTATAACTCAGTTGCTTATAACTTTGCCAGACTTCAGCCATTCATGCTGAAATTTTCCATACTAGGTGTCTGTCTCAGACTAATTTTTTTTAAGAGTTTCTGGAGATATGACTATACCGTTCATCAGAAAGTTGACGGGGGGGGAAAGCATTGTTTTGCTTATATTAAAAATTCTTATGACTGTTTGTTGAGAAGCTCTCTTACCTCCATGCTTTGGTGCGAGGGTTTGAAATTTGGTAAGGGAATTGAATTTTGCCAGGGATGTGCATATTTGCCAAAATTGGGAGGGTTTTTTTCCCCCATGGCAACACCAAGTTATGAGCTTTTGTGAAAAAATCAGTTTGCACATGCTCAGAGACTTGTTAGCTTGGCAGCTAAATTATTTGAAGATTCTAACTGTACTGAGCATACTGCAGCCCAGGGCTGAATGGGCTGAGCAAGACTCCTTGTAGTTGCTGCTTCTGACTGCTGTGGTGCCAGGCACTGAGAGCAGGAAAGCTCTTGTGCTGGGTGCTTCACCTGTAGGCATTCAGGCACAGTGAAGGAGGAAGCAGCCTGATGGGAATGCAGAAGTAACTAGATCCAGACAGTGCAAAGGATGTGATGGTGGAGAGAGTAGATTGAGGTAAGAAGCCTGGGAGGGGGGAAGTGACTGACTTCCTGAGATGAGATTTGGGGGAGTGGGGGCGGCACTTAGGAAGACTGGGATGAACTGAGCAAGGAGAGGGACTTGGATGAGGAGGGTGGTGAGAACTGGGAGCTGCGGTGGAGAAGACTAGGATATGGAGTTTAGAGGGAGAGACTGGGACTAGGATGAGGAGCCCAGAAGGGTGAATGCTGGGACTGGCTAGCCAAGGAACTGTAGGGTTGGGGATGTTGAATAAAGATTGTGTAGTGACGGAGGCTGTTGTCGGTAGGACCCCTGCCTTGTTTGTTGCACAAGGTGGAAGGTGTATAGTGAATGAGGAGGGCAATTACGGCTAAGGCAGTTGCATGCTGCTCTGCAGAAGTGGATCCTGTCTCTGGTCAGAGTTCTTACGTGATGCTAGATAAGTCACCTAAATGAAACTTTTCAGCAGTGGCCACTAACTTTGTGTTTCTGACTATCTGAATGCACAGCCTGAGACCCTGAGGTCTGATTTTTAGGAGTGCTGAGCACTCTCAGTTGCAACTGAATTCAATGGAAGTTGTGCTTTGAGCGTACAAAGAACTATATAATTGTAACAACTCTGAAAAACCAGGCCCTAGGCATCTTAAATTGGACACCCAAAATTAGTGGATACTTTTGATCTCTGTGCTTCGGTTCCACATCTGTAAAATGGGGATATAATATCCTGTTGCCTCACAGGAGTGTTGTGAAAATAAAATGTTTGTGAAACACTTAGATATGAGAAATGATCATTATAGAAAAACCCATGAGGAAATGAATAATTTTATAGAGAAGGGTTTGAATAGTGTACAATAAATGTCACATGGAACTACATGTTGACCAAAAAGTACAAAACAAGCTATTCGACAGCTGCTTAGTGAGTACTGTTCATTCTGTGCACTCTGAGGAAGGGGTTTGGTGGGAAAAAATAGAGTAATTTCATGATCACATACTATCATAATGCATGAAAATAAGGGGGGCTGAATTAAGCTTGTGCAGGCAACCTTAATTCTGGCATTTCTTTACTTCTGAATGTTTTACTTTGAAGTAAAGCAACTATGAAGTTCTTCTAACATATCTTGTGGTATATAATGTAAATATAATTGTGACTATTCGTCAGATTCATATTCTTAGTAAGAACTTTATCTCAAGTTGCTCACAAAAATTTGCTGATGAGATGACTTTCAGAGATATTTGATGGAAAAGAAGCAGCATACTAGTTGGGGCACTAATAGCACGTTGATTATCTCCAACTACATCTGTACGTTGCTGTTTAGACTACCTCTTTTTACTGTTCACTAGTTTTAAATTGGATACTGGATATTACCACTTTATTTGGTCCCACATGCAACTAAAGAGAATCTTTTAATATTTAAAACCTACAGCAGTGCACATAACTAGGTTTTGCAGGATTCACTTCTAATCGATAGAGGTTGGTAAACATCCGTTTCAGCTGATACTGAAATCGATGGGGGAAAAAATTCCATTGGTGGTAGTTGGGGTGAGTGCATCTTCTCCTCCATATCTTGTGCCTGCAGGAATCTGGTGTCACTGGCCCTGCTGCAGTGCAGGGAGCCCGCTGCAGCCCTGCTGTCACAGGAGCAAGAGACCGGGATCATGACAGCAGGGTTGCAGAGGGCTCCCTGTGCTGTGGCAGGGCCGGTGACACTGATCCCTGCAGGCACAAGGTGTGGGGAAGGCTGTGGTTCTGACAGGGCAGAGCAGAGACCCCTGGCCAGGGCTGAGAGGAGGAGGAGGAAGAGCCCTTGGCTGCGGGGAAGGCCACCTTGCTGCTGAATGGCTCCTGCCCAAAGACTGAGCCATTCAGTAGTGTTGTGGTCTCCCCCTCATACCCCTGGCTGGGGGTGTGTCTGCTCCACCAGGCTAGGACCACAGCCTCCACCTGCCCCTTGCACCTGTAGGGATCTGGTGTCACTGGACATGTGGAGAGCCCTTTGCAGCTCCACTCTCATGGCCCCACTCACTCACCAGCCAGGAGTGCAGGAGCTGTCCCTGGACAGGAACTGTTCAGCAGTTAGGTGGTCTCTCCTTCAGCCAGGGACTTGTCCTCCTCCTTGCAGCCCTGGCTGGGGGTGGGGTGAGGGTCTGCTCTGTTGGGCTAAGACTGCAGTCTCCTCCACACCTTATACCCTGATGTCTTGAGCCCCTCGGCTGCACAGAGAGCCCCTGCAGCTCCACTGTCAGTACCATCCTGTCCCCATCCTACTCCCACTTAACTTACTGCAACTGTAAAAATTAAAATCAAAATTGATAATTATCAAAATTGCAAAAAAATGAAAATCATAAGCTCTCACTTGGCCAAATACACGCATACAGATATTTAGAAACCAAATTGCAATCTCTTGTGGTCCTATTGTCTGCGTTGCCACTGAAGGCATAGTGAATGAAATCTTGGTGGATTTCTTTTGTGCGAGAACCACCTCTGCAGCATTGTTCTCCACTTATTCTGATCTGACAGGAAAGACACATACCCCCGGCCTCTGGACCCCAAATGCCATTTTCAGGTAAGAGTGTGGACCAGAGGAGGAGGAGATGAGGCTTGGGGTTGTTGGACAAGCCACTCCCCATGGCATCATAAATTCCCCCCCTTAGATCATTCTGGTCATCTTAACACACCTACTGGCTACCTTCCTCAGATATGGAACCTCCTCTTACTCCTGCTCTTCCTCAAGAGGGATTTCTGGTGTCAGAAGAGTGGGAGACAGCAGGGGAAATATAATGTATTTACAGAATACACACAGGAAAACAGAACTTTGAATAATCTTTTTTTAATGGTGTGGGGAGGAGGGTGGGGAGGTTGTCAAACTATCTTGGCTTTGTCTCGAGAACATTCTGGCCTAAACTTTTAAAAATAGCTACTGATTATGGATGTCAAGGGACTCAAATTCACTAGTCACTCTTGAAAAATCAGGCTTCTGCATACATGTTTTTTACTTTGATATATGTAAGCTAACTTTTTTGTTTTGTAATTGAAATACTGTACCAATAATCACTTACCAATAATCATTCAGTGTGTTCCTAGAGTTATTACTATTGTTCTTTCCCATTTAGTTTGCACGATGATTGAATTCTGAGTTTCACAGTAAAGGAAAACGGGACAGGGATTGTATTCATGTTTGCATGGCACTCCGATCCTGACTGGATTCGCTGAATGCTACAGCATTACATATAATTAATAATAAATTAATTAAAATTCAAATGTTAAATTGTCTGGGAAAATTTTATTTTTCAGGACAAGGTGTGGATGAGCCCCTTTCTGCAACTGGTTTCAGACAAGCAGATGCTGCTGGTGTATTTCTCAGTAATGTAAAGTTTACTCATGTCTTCTCAAGTGACCTCCTTCGAGCGAAGCAGGCAAGTACTTTTTCAGGCAATTGAAAGTAAATTTAAAGCTCTGTATTTTGGGGTGCTGGGGCAAAATAATGCAGTGGCAATTTTGAAGGAGAGGATAAGTTTGGAACTAAAATGTTTTATGTAAAAGGTGAGCTCTTCTCCAAAGAGTGAAGGCAGCTTAAAATAAACCACTGAGTTAACATACATCACCCATGACTTGCATCTTCAGTGCATGTTGTACATTAGGGGTCTAGGATATTTTTTCAATATACATAACCATGGAATGCTGCTACATAAGTTCCTCTCAGATAGTGGTGATAAGAGCTCAAGAGAATCTGGCTGTGATGATGGTGGATGTTTAAGGAAAATCTGTTTATAAGAAGACCAACAGTTGACATTGCCAATAGCAGCCCATTATGTTTTTAATTAACTGAGAGACAGCGTAAGCAAAAAGTCCAGGGGCAATGGCTGCCACTATGTAGGAACTTCTAAGAACATTTATTCTTAATTCTAAAAAATACTCTAAGAAGTGCTTACATTTAAAAACTACATCAGTTTTTTAGCTTAATAGTGACACTTTCATCTTTACTAAATATGGTTAATAAAGGATACTCAACACAATAACAAAATGGTGAAAGAGGAGAGGCTAGAAGCAGAAAACAGAAGGTTAAAAAAATACCTTCAAATTATCAGGTACTGTATATAAGACAGTAGGACCCAACAAAATTCATTTTTTAACTCTCTACAGGATTTAGTAGAGGTAGTATCCATAGCGCCCTGCACAGATACAAAATTTATATCCACAGATATAAGTCGGTATCTACGGGAGCTGCAGGACTCTACCAGGAATCTCAGCGGCAAAAGCAGCAGCACATCAGGCCGCCACTCCCAGGAGCCAGCACTCCGCGTCGGCAGCTGTCTGTGGTCGTGCTAATGTGTGCAAATGGCTCGCACACTCCTGGATAGGAGACAGACTGCTGCATGGAAGGGACTCCTGTCCGGGAGCATGCGAGCCGCTTGCACACACTAATGTAACCAGGAACAGCTGCCCTTGAGCCTGTTGCCTGCCCCAGTGGGTGGGGCTGAGGGATGGTACAGCCACGCTGGAGGAGCTGCCAACACAGGGTGCTGGCTCCTGGGAGCGGTGGCCTGACATGCTGCTGCTTTCACCGCTGTGGTTCCTGGTAGAGCCCGTAGAGCTCAGTGGATACTGCTTTATATCCATGGATATCCGTATCTGCGTATATAAATTTTGTGTCTGTGCAGGGCTCTAAGTATCCAAATCACTGCCAGGTATCTTTGAGAACTGTGGAGGATGGACTGAATTCCCAAGTGACTGGTAATACGCTATCATGCATTAATGCCTATTTAAGGAGGAAGAGAAGGGGGGACCTTTTTAGTCTAACAAGCTTAACTTTAATACCTGGTTGCTTCACAAGACCATATTTGTGCCCCTAGTGGAAAATAAAAATTGTAGATCCCACAAGTTAATCAAAAATGTAACATTAAACCAACTTAACTATTTTCTTTGAAGGAAATGGAATGGTATAGCTTAACTTTATTAACTTGTGTGATCTTGTTGTACATTACTAGGGCCCTGCCAAATTCACGGCCATGAAAAACAGGTCATGGATGGTGAAATCTGGGCTTTTGTGTACTTTTATGCTATACTATACAGATTTCTTGGGGAGACCAGTATTTCTCAAACTGCAGATCCCGACCGAAAAGAGGGCTGCGGGGGGGTGTTGCATGGTTATTGTAAGGGGGGGTCGCAGTATTGCTGCCCATCTGTGGTACCTTTAGAGCTGGGTGGCTGGAGAGTGGAGGCTGCTGGCCAGGTGCCCAGCTCTGAAGGCAGCATCCCGCCAGCAGCAGCACAGAGGTAAGGGTGGCCCCCCATAATAACCTTGCAATCCTCCCATAGATTCCTTTTGGGTCACGACCGCTACAGTTACAACACCGTGAAATTTCAGATTTAAATATCTGAAATCATGACATTTATGATTTTTTTTAAAAAAAAATCTTATGACCCGTGAAATTGACCAAAATGGACAGTGAATTTGGTAGGTCCCTACACATTGCAGTTTCCTGGGGAATTTAGACAAATATTAACTAGATGAAACTATGCTAAAAGATGACTACACAATTGGCTAAACATGGAAGTGTTTTTTGCTGTTAGTAAGTTGCAGGACTGAATGGGGTGCTCTGGGACCAGTATTAATAAGTATTTTCACAAACTACTTGAATAGCGAGAATACACTAATTATTGGGAGGAATTGCATATAATTTGGTGGACAGCGTTAAAATGCAGGATAATTTTGTAATTTCTGTTTTTAAAGAGACTAGTGGGATAGATCAGATGACTCAGGAAGTGCAGATTTCATACAGAAATTCTATCTTTATTTCTTGCCTTAGTCTCTCGAGGAGACTTCCTGTGAATGAATCTGGCAAAGGCATATACCAGTCATGAAATGCTTTAAAATTGACAAACTAGTAATAATAGTAACTTTCGTCACTTAAGTTTGTCAACAGCACCAAAGATATTTACAAAGATCTCATGGGTATTGAAAAGCAGTGTTGAGACTCAGGCAAGGAAAATATCCCAGTTATTACATCTCAAACCACTTGCCGTATATACTCGATCATAAGCCAGTTCGTTTATAAGCCAACCCCCCCAAGATGGATAAGTAAAAATGGAAAAATTTTATAACCCATTCATAAGCCGACCCTATAATTCAGGGGTCAGCAAACTTTGGCTCCTGGGCCATCAGGATAAGCTGCTGGCGGGCCGAGATGGTTTGTTTACCTCGAGCGTCTGCAGGCGTGGAGATAAACCTAAATAAACAAAGTATCCCAGAGCGCCAGCTGCTTACCCTGACGGGCCGGGACAGCAACTGGTGGGGAAATTTTTTGCAGGGGAGAAGCTGGGAGTCAGGGGAGTAATCCCTGTGACCCCCCACACACACACACACATGACCCCGACCCTAGCCCAGGACCCCCACACTCTCCCCATGCCATCCCTTCCCACCTTATCTGGGGAGGGCCGGGGAGGATGTCTCTGACCTGGCTGGAGCTGCTCCGGCAGGCTGGGCAGCGCAGCCGCAGCCTGCTCCGGTGGGCCAGACCGGGCGGCACGGCCGTAGCGTGTTCCAGCGGGCTGGGCCGGATGGCGGGGCCGTAGCGTGTTCCAGCGGGCTGAGCTGGGTGGCGCAGCGTGGCCACAGCCTGCTCTGGGGGGCAGGGCTGAGTGGCATGGCTGCAGCCTGCCAGCCCCAGAGCTGCAGCTGCTTCAGAGGCTGGGAGAAGAGCAGCGTGGCCAGAAGCAGAGAGACTCTGGCCCTGCCTCTTCCCTTCTGGCTCTGCTGGCTGTGCTGCCTCTCCTTGCTCCCTCTGTTGGGGGGAGGGGCTGTGTCCCACCTCTCCCTCTCTGTACCTGTTCATAAGCTGACCCTTCTCTGTTGCTTCCCTTTTTTACTAAAAAAATTCGGCTTATGAACCATTATATATGGTAATTGTTTCAGGAAAAATTTGAACAATCTTTTTTTTAAAAATTTAATCTACCTAAGAATAATGTGTCTACCCAGAAGACCAGATTTTGAAGTATAACTAAGAGGGAAGAAAATTTAGGATATAGTTCGAGTTGTAAAAAGAAACTACTCTTTCAGATGTCCTCTTTGATCAGTAGGACTCATAGCTTAGTACATAATAAATGCTCCACATGAGCAATTTTGTATACAGGGTGTCTTTGGAGAATGAAGAACCAGAATGTGGCCCTGTTGGTTTTGATTCCAGAGAAAGTAGTAGTAATTTAGAGGGGAGGTCGAAGATGCAATGTTGCAGAACTTGATTCTACCACCCTGTGCTTACCCTGTGGTTAAGTTGCATTGAGTAACACAGCAGTACTCTAAATGGTAAGAATGGGTGCAGAATCTGGTGCTTAATGATTACTCATTTGACAAAGGGCTGCATGGGAGCACATCAAGAGTACCTTCAGTATAATTTTTTTTTACATGGGCTGGGCCTAATCTACAAGCCTTCTGTTTGAAGTTAAACTTTACCCTGAAATAATTGAAATTATGCCTGCTTGTCTTCTGCCCTGCCCATACTATTTTATTTATCTATATCTATATAAAAAAATAAATAAAAAATGGGAGGCTGGAAGGGAGGATACAGAGGAAACAGCACACTCCAATCCGAACAGAACATATTCTGTATATTTGTATTTCTTACAGGTTTGTGACTATAGTCCAAATGTCATAGATATCGTACATTTCAAACCATGTAATTCTAAATTCTTTCCCAGATTTACTAATGCTTTATTCTTCTGTATTCAGCCCATTAGTAACTCTTTCTGTGATATCCATTTGCATATAAATATAGATATGAAAAAGGATATAATAGACAAGGCTGGTGGTACCACTTATTGTTAAAGATGCATGACACTTCCCATTACAAGACTGTTCCCAGTTGCTTATAACTTTGGGCTGAAGTTTTCCATGCTGGTTGTCTGTCTCAAGCTGTTTTTTGAAGCTTTCAGCCAAAATGGCTCTGCTATTCCTGAGAACAAGACTGAGAAAAATATTTCTTTTGTCCATGTTGAGGGGGATTCTGGTGACCTCTTTGTGGAGCTCTAGCACTCCTATCCTTTGAAATTTAGCAGGAGGTGGCCTTTGTCAGGATGTGCCTATTGCCATCCTAGTGAAAATCTGCCCCAAATTTGGCCAAGTTATAAGCCTTTGAAAAATTGCAGTTCACGTACATCCTCAGAGACTTTGATTTTAGCAGCTGAAATCGCTGAAGAGTCCATCCTCAGTCAGCATGCTCCATCCCCTCAGTTCGTACATCAGTCATGACTGCAATGTGCCATCCCTACGCAGTAACTGAACATGTTCCAGCCTTAGGGCTACAGGGGCAAAACTGGACTTTCCCTGCAATGGCTGCTCTGAGCTGTGGCAGGCCATGGTGGGACCAGGCACTGGAAGTGAGAGCAGGGAACCTTTTATCAGTGCCCGCTCCGCCCAACTTGCTGGCACCCAGGCAGCGTGGAGGAGGAAGCAGTCTGATTTAAATGTGAAGGAGACAAAAGCCAGATCATCGAGGAGGGAAAAAGTAGATTGGGACAAGAAGTCTTGTAAGACTGGAATTGAAGGGAGGCCAGAGAGAGAAATGTGGGACTATGACGGAGGGGAGGCAAGGATTGAGCCAGTGGGGGAAGGAGAGGGACAGATTGGATGAGGAACTGGAAATGGGAGGTTGGGACTGAGAGCTGGTTGATGGACGGGAGTGAAACTGGATAGGCAGAGTCTGGGACTAGGAACTAGTCGGTGGGAGGGGAAGGAACATGGGCAGGGAGATGGGAGACATCTGACAAAGGACCTGGGTACAAGGGAAGAACTGAGCCAAGCTGGAAGTGGTGGGGGAAAGATTGAAAATTGGAAAGTGAGCCCGGGAGTGGAGGAGGGGATTGGGACAAGGAGACGGGGTGGGAAAGAGGCAGGTATGAGTTGGAGGCAACAGGCAGAAGTCTGTGTCCACGAGAGCACATTCCCTATCTGAGTCTGAAATTAAACCCAACATTCTTGAGTCTCTCCATTTCTCTGCTGCCAGCAGTTATCTGTGAAACACACTGACTGTGTGTCTTATACCCCCTAGGGATGGTCCACACAGTGGATGACAACCTATTACTATTAGTTACGCAGTTAACTCAGATGGCAGCAGCCTGTGTGGTGGGTCTGAAGGTTCCAACCCTGCTGATGAATAATTTGGATATCAGTATGCCACATAATGGAATTTGTTTTTTCAGATTTTGGGTTTTTTTTAAAACCTAGGAAACTAATGTTATATATTCTCTTATACTCACACTGTTAAAGTCAAACACTCAAAAATTAGGAAATGCCAGAATTAAGGCTACCTTTGCAACCCTAATCTGGCTCCCTTGTGCATGTGCATTATGATAGTCTTTAATTACATAATCACATGCTGTGTATTCCACAGAACCCCACCTCATTTGGTGCACAATGCAGGATAGGCCTGATTAGAAGGTGTGTCCTGAATGAGGCATGGGATTTCAGGAAGAGAAGAGTGTCTCGTGGTCCAGGCAGTTGAATACTTCCCTAGAGAAGTGGATTCCATCCCTACTTCTGCCACAGAGTACCTATGTGATGCTAATCAAATAATTTAAGCCAAACTTTTTGTTGGTGATTGCTAATTGCTTGTTCCTAATCTCCTGAATTGAGGGCTTCGGGTCTGATTTGCTGGAGTGCTGATTGCTCTCAGCTGCAACTGAATTCAGTGGTAAAAATGGGGATAAAACTACCCCCTCATCTTGCAAGTTTTGTTAAAATAAATGTTTGTGAAGTATTCAGGTATTGTAGAGATGAGTGCCATGGAAAAGCCCATGAGGAAATTAATAATTCTGTCTTCAGAGCAGGGCATGAATAATGTGCAGTAAATAAGGCATGGGCCACATATTGAACAATCATAAAACAATATTGAATAGTTGCTTATTAGTGAACACTGTCCATAGCATGCACTGAATGAAGAAGGGGGGTCCCATGGAAAAAAAATGCAATCATGTAATTAAAGACTGTCGCATAATGCAGATGCACAGGCAGCCTTAATTCAGGCATTTTTTAACTTCTGAGTGCTTAACTTTGTAATCTTAATATATTGGTTAGGTCATGTATAATGTTTGCTTTGCTTGGTACATCACAACTTAGTATCATAAGCATCTACTGCTGTGTGGCGGAACCTGTCTAAATCACTTAACCACCTCCTTCCTAACAATTAATTGCCCCCCTTTTTTTTTCCCGAGGAACCTTTTAACATCCAAAAATGGTATTTTTATATGACTTTGTACATTTATTTTTTCAGACTGCATCCACAATTATAGGAAAGAATAAGTTTTGCAAAGATATTGTAATACAGTATGATGCAAGACTACGAGAGAGGGTAAGTGCCAAGTTACTAGTTCCTGTCTTCAAATTGAATAATTTGTAAATGTAACTTACCACTTACGATACAAATATTTTAAATTTCTCATTTATCTGAATGCCTAGGTAGCTTGGTAATTCATCCTTTGTAATTATGAAAGTTGCAATTCTGCCATTAGGTATACGAAGGCTTTCATTTGCTTCAGTGCTTTCTGCAGTCATAATAGGCAGAATTTGACTTTAAGTCTAACTTATATAATCACCAGCAGACTCTTTTACTTACCCAATTAATCTTTATTATTTTTTTTGTCCACACAAATGCATAATTGTACCTCTTGTATGAGTTTAACTATAACTTGAACTGAATAAACTGAGTCTGGGGCATGTTTTAACCTAGGTTATGGCTGTTATAGTGTTAACAGGAAGTGTACTCAAGTTGTTATAGTAATGGTATTTTCAACTTAATTTTAAATGAAAGGAGACACTACCAAAAAAAAAAAAAAGATAGCAAACTGCCAAAGGTAACCCTGTTAAAAGAAGGAAAAAGTTGTAGCATTTTCTCACTTCCCCCTCTCTTTCTTGAAGAATCAGGAAGGCTTTTGTTCCCTAAATGGCTGCAATGTAGTCATGTTCCGGAGGCTGCATTCTTCAAATATACAATACACATACCAGTTGTTCTGGTGATAAGCCCTACTGGAGAGAAGGGATGAGAGGAAGGAGGAAAATTTAAAAGATTTTTTTTTTAAAGGGTTTTGTAAAATGTCTTCCTTTTCAGAAGTTTCAGAGCCCTGATTTCTTTGCTTTTGTGAGTTCTTTCATGGACAATTTTGAGCCTTTCTGTTTCATCTGAAGAGAGTAAGATATTGAGGTACCTTTTGTTGCTAGCAAGCAACGTCAATTCTGAGTACAGGAATTAATTAGAGAAGAGCTGTTATAGTAAGTAATGGAGATTTGCTTGTTCACTGTATGGATATTGAAATCACTGTAGTGATTATGTAAGTAGAGTGCAGGGATTTGTATAACTGAGGGAAGGATTATATACTGGTGCATTTTTTTAAACTGTATAGCGTCCACTGCCTGTTTTCTCAAAATAGTAAGCAGTATTACAGCAGTTTCCCCATCATGCCTTGTAACATAGAACTAAACCTGTCTTTCACTTGAATATATTATCTGTTCTCACTTACTGTAATGTAGTGTGGGGATGTGGTGGTGTTGCATTCCACCTTAGGGGTGGATGAATTGATTCCTGTATTGTTTGTAAAGACCTTCAGGATGAAAGATGCTCTATAAATATAAGGTGTATAATACAATATGTATTATAAACTGAATGTCTATATGTAACATCCACTTAAAAACGATAAAGATTACTTTTACAATGTGACGTTTGGTCTGTTTCACTGTGAAACCGGGGTGGTGGTGGGGGAGGATGTGCTTTTGGGGTTCTATCGGCATTTTCTCCTGTGAATTTAGCATTTGAGACTTATATAATCTCAGCCAAATCATTATAATTAACACATGGTTACAAGTTCTTAGGGTCCGAGAACTAAAAATATATATTACAGTACTTATTTTTCCTATCTTAAAAAAAACCTAACCCAAATTAACGTGCCCATATCTCTGAAATATAGCCTTTTTTTGGATGTTCCAAGAGTATTTTTAACAGCTAGAATGCTCATATTTAGAAAAATCCCAATAACCAGTTTTCCAAATTGATTTTTATTCTGTGAATTATGGGAGAGATTTCAAAGGCACAGAGGACAGTTGGGTGACCATTTCCCATTTATACTTTTGAAAATGTCTCTGTATGTTGAGTATCACTTAGCTACAGCAGAATCCCAATGCTTTCTGTTTGGACTTTGGAGGTTTTACATTACGAACAGTCATTACATAGGTCATTATAACCTTTACTGGGATTTTGTGTACCAAGAATGATAGAAAAATTCTGGCACATAGATCAAGAACAACCCAAGATAAATATCAGATAGCTGTTGATGTTTGAAACATTCACTCTTTCATTAAATTAGAAATGCATGATTACTTTAAAATGACTTATTTGGAGAAACTAACCTTAAATGAAATAGCACAAATACAGACCTCTTCAGACATTTGGTGTGGAGTGAGAGTGCTGTTCAACCTATTGTCTATGTTAAAAGGGAAACAGGAACTGAATCTTTAAATGAAGTTTGAGTTTGAATTTGTATGACTGAATTTTTCTTAATATTTAGTAAATCCTTTTCTATAAATGGTCTTTTCTAGAAATATGGGATTGCTGAAGGAAGACCATTGAGTGACCTAAAGGCAATGGCAAAGGCTGCTGGAGAGCAATGTCCTTCGTTTACACCATCTGGAGGAGAAACACTAGATGAGGTATGGTATTACCACTTGTTTGTTCAGGCCCCATTTTCCATGTTACCTTACACATTTCCTTTATACTAGTGCAGACACCTCTGTATTGTTAATGAAAGAATGCTATTCTTACTCCCGGGGGAATTCTGTGCCACTGAGCATGCGTAGAATTTATGTCGCCCGCTGATTTCTGTGCTTCCCCGCAGAAAAATGGCTTTCTGACAGGGAAGCCACAAGAATGGTCATGCGACCCTCCCCAGCAGTATGTTTTGGGTCCCCAGAGCAGCCAGCAGAGAGGTAAATCACTGTGGGGCAGGAGGTGGGACTGGGGAAGACCCGGCTGGTGATTCCTACCCTGCGTTGAGCTCATCTGCTAGCCTGGGCTGGGTTGGGCCGGGGAGGACGGGACTTTCTCTTCCCCCTGCATGGCATCCGAGGCCGAGTCAGACCCACCTTCAGATTTCTTCCCTGGCTGCAGGAAGCTCCACAAACTTCCTGCACCCATCACTCCTCAGCTGCAGGAGGAGGGATCGCTGTACGGGGAGCTGCTCCCCCATCTGCCCTACTCCCATGCATCCAGATCCCCTCATACCCAGACCCTCCTGCCGAGCCTCACTCCCCGCACTGAGATCCCCCCAAATGAGCCCCACAACCCTGACAAGCCACCCGCACCCAGATCCCCACCCCACTGAGCCCCACTCCCCTAGCATCTGACCCCCCCCACTAACGGCCTCCCTGCTGAGCCCCAACCACCTTCACCCCCTGCAGAGTCCCATTACCATTGCACCCAGAACCCCCCCAACAAGCCCCTGTGCATCCAGATCCCCCCACACCCAGATCCCCCACTGAGCTGCCTGCACCCAGATTGCCCCACACAGAACCCTCTCAACCCACACCTGGATCACCCCACACTAAGCCCCTCTACATTTGGATCCTGCTTTGCCGAGCCTTCCTCCCACACCTGGTACACCTGGCATTGAGGGGCATGGCCCTGGGGTGTTTCCGGGGCAGGCCCGGTCCTTGTACTGTGTCAGGTTTGGGTGCAGCCTCCCCCCAGAGTCCATGTCCCCTGGAGAGAGGGTGGGGGGAGTTGCACAGTCATCTCCCACCTCTGTGCAGCCAGTGGCCTGTGCTCCCCAATGCCATGTTGGATCCTCCACATTTATTTGACAAATAAAATTTGCAGAATTTTAAAATATTGTGCACAAATTTTAATTCTTTTGGCGCAGAATGCCCTCAGGAGTAAATTATTCTATTGCAGGCTTAGCTCAACCAGAGGTGTCTTTTGTAAGTTCCATTCTGCAGTGTTCCCTTTTAATAGAATGGATTTAAATATTGCCCTTCTATTCTCCTTTAGTCTTGATATGTTTATTTGGAATCATCATGCTGATACCTGTCAGTTGGCTACATGTGAATTTACGAAGCTTTGTGTCCCAAGTGATCAGCACAGAAACCTGTTGAGCTCAAAGTTGACTTTGGGTTTGGTACCTTTAGTGTGTATGCACTGCGGTTGGGTTTGTGTTTTTGATCCTGTTTTCTATCCTATTCAGTCGGGGGTTAAATCATCCTGAAATCATCATCCAACCTGAAACAACTAGACCTGATGGCAATGGCAACTGATTTGGGATTTTTTTCCTCTAAATCTAAAATTAGCCCATGGATAGCTTTATGATAAATCAGTCTTATCTTAATGAAAATGAGAAATTACCTTCACCGTCAGCCTCCTTGGATTTAGAGGGTTGAGAACTAATAATCGTCTCCACGTTTAGTACTTTGACCTGCTACTGTAATTGCCATGTGGAAGCTCGTTTGCCTTTCTCTGATACAGCTACTTCAGTTTTCTAGTCAGTCTTTGTGGGTTATGTAATTTGTATGTGTTGTAGAACAATTGACAGTGAAATTATAAAGCCAGTAAAAAGCAACCAGTAAATTCACCGGTCAGAGTTATTGCAGTCATCACAAATATATTCTTTTTTTTCCTAACACTTTAGGTAAGGGCACGTGCAAAGAATTTCTTTGAATTTCTGTGCCAACTTTCTATTGAAGAAGAGTGTCAGAAACAACAAGCTGTTCTGGGTATGGCAGGCAATGGCTTGGAAACATTGGAAGGAAAACCAGTTTTCCCTTTGAGAAACCACTGCTGTGGACTTGAACTTAATTCTGATACTGACAAAGATACAAAAATGTTAAATCCCAATATATTGGTAGTGAGTCATGGGGCATACATGAGAAACTGGTTTGGTTATTTTGTTTTGGATCTAAAGTGCACTTTACCATCAGCTTTAAAAAAGTCTCAGTTATCTTCTGTGAGCCCTAATACTGGAGTGAGTCACTTCATTATAAACCTTGGAAACGGAGATGTGATTAAACCGGAAATCAGTTGTATTTGTCTTAATCGAGACGATCATTTAGCAGATGTGAATACTGAAAATCTGTAGCTCAAACAATTAAAATGTTAGCAATATTAAATGTATTATATAGCATTTTTAGTCTTAAGTTATTTAAGCATGAGAAATAATTCATTTTAAAAAATACCCTTAATTAGCAAATAAGTCTTGACTAAGTTGATGTTCTATTTGGAAAATTGGTCTTAATAGTTAGTTGGGTTGACTTGAATTCAGTTATTGGCACTATACTGTAAGATTCTGAAGAACTGTAATAATCTGTTTTACAGTAATTTACACAATATAGATGACCTTAGTGCTTGATAGTAATTCAGTATTGTAAAAAATATACTAAAACATATTCTTTATGAACAGGAACTTAAAGATATTACTATTCAGGACTCCTGGATATCTGTTGCTGTAGTGTGTATTTTTTACCATTCTACCAAAAATGTTATGCATATCATCAGCTGTTTTTCAAAAAGTATTACATGACAAAAAGTTTAGAAATACTGTAACTAAGGAAGTTAATTTTTTCTCCAACCTACTGTGCTGTAACTTTATATATTTAAGTTGTTTTTTATAAATGTAAATGTGTTCCTATTTTAATGTAATAGTATAACCTAGTAGAGGGAGCATTGTCTAGTGGGAAGAGCATGGAACCGTAGGTGTTTGGGGAAGACCTGGCTCTGCCACTGACTAGCTGTGAGACCCTGGGCAAGTCTCTTAATCTCACCATGCCTCAGTTTTCCCATCTGCAAAAATGGGGATGATGAAACTTACCTCACAGGTGTGTTGTGAGGATTCAGGTTATTAAAACATTTTTGAGATCCTCTCCTGTAAATCCTTGTACAAATGCAGAGTGTTGATTATTTAAAACTGTTAGTAGGGTGTGGAGCGCTAACTTGCGCATTTCCAAAATTATGACTTCTGTCCTGAAAAGGAATTCTTGCACATGGAACATTGTGTCCAGCTAGGGTCCCAATGAGTTAAATGGGACTCTCATGAGTGGTTACATTTGCAGGGTCTAGGCTGCTGTAAGCACTCGAGTGCTTATGGTTACTAGTAATACTGTATGTTCTTCCACCTTTGGGGCGTCTTTAGTATTCGCATGTATGAGCGCACATGTAATAACCTCTATATATGTTGTAGTAAAACTATTCTCGCAATTTGCATATCTTAAAAGATTGTAAATAAAATCATTAAAGCCGTATGTGTAGAATTTCTTGGATTTTCAGCATGCCATGTATCATCCCCAAGGTTTATTTTTGATACAGGATTTGTACTTAGCTTTGTAGAATAAGTATCTTCTTATATTGGAACTATTAGACGGTGTTCTCTCGGATTGACTGTACAACTGCAAAATGGAGCTACTTTCTAACATGTTAGTCAAACTGTCTTTTAAAGGGGCCTGTATATGTCAAAGTGCTTTACTGATTAACACCTAGGCCTTACCATAGAAATTTATTTAATGTTGCAATTCTTAAAATTGAAACTGCTTACAACTTTAACTTTTTGGGCTGAAACTTTCAAAGGTGGGGGTCTACCTCCGTCTAATCTTTTTTGAAGTTTCATCTAAACTAGATGCAGCCATTTCAACAAATGAAATTAAGGGAAAATACATTGTTTTGCCCATATCTTTTCTAATTCTTACAACTGCATCATTGAAGTTCTCATGCATCCATGCTTTGAAGCAGAGACTTGAACCTTTATGGGTGGAGGAGGTTACCCGGGCGTCAGGGATGTCTCTTGCTGTCCCTATGAAAATCCTCCCAAATTTGGCTAAGTTATAACTTTGGGGGGGAGTAGCAATTTGCACATGGCAAGTAATAAGTTTGTTAGAGGCTGGCAGCTAAATTCTCCAAAGATTCTGTGTGCACTGCGTGTGTTTCATCCCCACAGAGCTCCTCTGGGCAGACCAGACAGCCATGTGTCATCCCCACAGAGTGATTGAGCAGTCTCCGTCCCAGGGATGAGCAGGGCTCTCTGCTTTAGCTTCTACTGGCTGTTAAGGGCTGCTGTGGTAATGAGCATGGAGATGGTCTCATCTGTGCTTTCAGTGGTGCTCCTTGTGGTACCCAGGTTGCATTGAGAAAGAAGTAGCCTGACTGGAAGAGGGAGGTTGGGATAGAACCAAGTGGGGTGGAAGACTCAGACTAAAGGGGATAAGGGTGGAATGAGATATGAGCAGAAAGGTCTGTAACCACAAGAGTGTAATCTCTTCCAGAACCTGGAACTGAACCCAGGATTCTTGTGTGTGAACATTCCTTTGCTGTCTAGCAAGTAGCTGTGAAACCTATTGACAAAAATTTCTTCCCAGGCTAGTAGTGTTGATCTGCATAGAGGATATAATGGCTACATTACTCAACTGGTAGAAATCTGTGCTGTGGGCTAGAACCTTGCAGAGACAAGACTTTCTCACACTAAGGGCAGGTGGTAGGCGAGGTGCCTCAACAACCCTGAATACTCCTGGGGACCATCACAGGTACACTTAAAATAAAACTGAACAGCTTAAGGTAAGAAATGCACAGTTAAGGCACCCAAACCACCTTATCTCTGCCCTGTAGGGATGCTATGCAGGGAGCAAAATACAGCGGAAAAAATCCAATATGTTTTTATAAATCAATTTAAATTTATTTTTGATTTATTTTTTCAGACCTCAGACACTTACAATCCCTTAATCTTAATCCTGTGGTTATTGATTGACATCAGTGCAGGGCAGAGTTAAGATTGAATGGGTGACTAATGCATTTCTTACCTTAACATATTTGGATTTCTTTTAAGTGTAACCCTAACTTTGAATTCCTTGCATTTGTACTGTTTGGTGTTGGGATAATCACAGATCCTTGCAATATTTTTTTTTAAACCCATCAATTACTGTTACATACTCTGAAACTTAACTCAATTTTAATAGAGTTGTGGTTTTTTTTGTTTTTGTTTTGGTTTGGAGGGTAGTTTGGGGCTGAGAGAAAGGATCATGATATACAAGCATAGGTGTCAGCGTGATTGTGGACATGCACATTGTTGATTCCACACTTTGTTTGGTATTCCTAAAATATCACCAGCTGTGCTCTCTTACCTACTGATTGGAGACCTTAAAGTTCAACAACTTCCTTCACAGTCCAGCATGTGTTCTCTCTCTGTAGTAGAACCATAGATCCATCAATTCAATCCCTTGTCTAATCTCTCTGTGATAGAATACTTTCCCCTTCCTCTCCCCATTGGATTTCTCTCTTTCAGAAGTTTCATAATTTCCTAGAGAGAGACATATAAGTTGACATCATTGACTTCAAAGAATACCACGGCCCTGCAAGCCTCCTTCTTTGTGATCACCTACCGTGCCTATGGCAATTTACTTATGTGGAAGAGTATCATTAGGAAAGTAGTGAATGCATTTTCAGCGGTTTTTAATGCAGTGTAGCAGCTGGCAACAAAGAGAAGGTCCTCACGTGACCAGCCCAGTCTCGACATATCACCAGTGATCCAAGAACCATGTTTTGAGGAACATTGGTTTATTTAACCTGTCAAAACTCTTTATGGAAGACCCAAAGGACTTCCACCTATTCAATCTAGTTTCTAATCTATATCATACCCATCACCGACTCTGAGTGCTGCCAGGATTATAAAAACATACAGTTCTCTTAAGACTGTTGGTTTGCCAAAAAAGTAAGTGTGTGTGTGTGTGTGTGCGAGTGCGTGCGCGCATCTGTTTTCTTTTTAAACCTCTTTCCTCTGCAGTCAAGACGTTCATCCTCTTCCAAATCTGCAGTCAATGGAGTTTGTGTAGCACACAGCTGGTGGTTTTCTCTTCAGAACGTGAGCATTAGCCATCCATCTTAGCAAAAAGTGTCCTGGGGCCACCTATGAGCTTGGTTGACATGTGGTATCAGAATGCCAGAATCCTCCACCATGCTATGTGTTAGTAAGGCTTTCCATCACAGCAATCCAGAATATGAGTGTCTGTTCCAGACCTGCATTAACAAGCATCTGATGTCATTCAATTTTTCTTTTTACGTGTGTGTAGGGGAGAGAAATCAATCAGCTTGCTATTATTTTTAATTAAACTGTCTTGTCAGTAGATGCCAAGATGAAAAGCACATTAAGAATGTTGGTTTAGTTTTAGTTGATTAAATTAAATGGTCAGCTAAAGTCTAACAAATGGGAGATGGTGTTAGTAAGATAATAGACCTGCTTGGCTATATGTACTGGGTTGAACTATCTAATGTGTTTGTGTACCACTGGCCTCCCCTGGGTGTAATCAGGAATGCCCAAATGTGTGTTGAAAGCTCTGTACTCCAAAGAGCTAATGGAGAGTCTCACCCACTACAGGTTGAAAACCACTGTCCTAGGTGGCTACAGTTTTGTCACAGCATATGTAGTATTACATGCTGGATTTGGATTCAGAAGCTTTGGGTTCAATTCTTGACTCAGCCACAAACTTCCTATGTGACCTTGGACACTTAATCTACCCCGTACCTCAGTTTCTCATCTGTAAAATGGAGATAGTACCTCCCTGTCATCCTGTGGCATTGTGAGGATAAAATCCAATAATGAAATATAGTGCCCGTCTTCAAAAAAGCAAAGATGGACAACCTGAGGAACTACAGACCAGTC